ACACAAATTACACAGCATCAGCTCCAACACCACCACACAAATTACACAGCATCGATCTCCATCGAAATCTGCTAACACACGATCTCCATCGAAATCTGCCTCGAATCAGTAATCAGTAGATTTCCATGGGGCAGCGTCGCGACGCTGCTGCGACACCGACAGTAGAATAGCGCGCCGGCAGCAGCGTCGCGAAGGGAGGAGAAGGGGAGGGAGGGGGAGCCGGCAGCAGCAGCGTGGAGAGAAGTCGTCGGCACATCGTGGAGATGGATCAGGAATGAGAGAAGACAAGGGTGATTCCGTTAATTGATAATGAAATTTCACGGGGTTGAGTGTATATAAATTATTTTGTATAATATTATTATTAATATTTAATTAAATATAAAATTCTGTATCTATCTATAAAATATCTGATTTTTGAACTTGCATCTTGAAAAGTAGGGGTACAAGTAATTTCCACTATTATTATTTTTTTTAAAAAAAAGTCCCAAACAATAACAAAGGATAAAAAAATTTATGGCCTTCATCTTCATTTTTCGGCGGACTGCGGACGGCGATGACGACTAACCCGCTCGGAAGCTCCCGATGGATCCAGCACAGGCGACCGCGGGGCTGGTCAGGTGTTGGATCCGCCCCTGATGATCAAGCTTCCGTCATTTCATCTAGGGACGAATATGATTCGATTTGGACGATTTATGACAAATTTTTTTAACCAAACCATTTAAAGCAATTTGGAAAAATTCCAAACCAAATCAAACCACTTCAATTTCTAAACCAAACCAATTCAAACAACTTTTATCGATTTGGTTCAATTTAAAAACAACAATTTAACAAAGAAAAAAAATATAAGTTAAATCATAAATATTAGCCACTGTTTGACAATTATTAAAATGAGATTTTTGTTTGAGGGAAAATGAGTTTTGAAATAACAATTTTTAGAGAATGTTTAGTTAAAAATGAGTTTGAAAAAAAGAATTTTTGTTTTATTGGTTGTCAAACAGAGACAACTTCTTAGTCGATACTAATTGAAGCAACATCTATAATTGATACATAATTCATTTTCTCCATAAAGATAAGAATATATTACATGAATTCATTGATTATAGTTAAATCATATAAAACAACTATAAAAGAAAATGAATAGAAAGATCAAATACAATAATACTTTCTACAACTTTTTGTAAATCATCCAATGCTTGTACTTCATCCAAACCTTGATGAATCACTATAAGTTCCTTGTTACTATACAACCATTTTTTAAGACAAATCACTACCTCAACTGTATTTGAACTCAATGAACTCCTAAAGAAATTGATAATAATTCGACCACTAGTAGGGAATGTAGAGTCAAAACAATTGTGGATAAGTGATAATCTTAACAATTTGGGGGACAATCTTATATTTATTTGAATTCAATTTCCACCAAATTAATATGTTGAAAGACTTATTGATCAAATCTTCAAAAATATCATTTAAATAATCCACCAAATCATTTTAGCAATTAACTGTAAAATCTAGAAACTAAGTTAAAACATAGATAATTAATTGAGTGACCTAACCAGAAAATTTAGATGCAAATATATAAAAAATGTTGTCCACTAAAAATTTAAGGAAGCCCATCACAAATTGGAACCAAATAGCACGAACTGGCTTGAAAATTTAGTTGAAATTTGAAAAAAATTATTAGTAAAATGAAAAGAAATATTCGGTTTGAATTAATATTTAGATTTAATTGTCTACTCAATTGTAATGGGCAATTGATGAATATGGTTCAACATCAGTTGTTCAACATTTCACCCAATTTGAAGGTTTTGCATTCACAATTATAATAATGGTTGGGTCTTTGGGTGTGATTTAATTAATTAACTGAGATGGATAATTGTCTATTTAGCTAATGCGTTATATTTAATATGTATGAATCTTTTTAACTGTAATGTGTTTAGTTTTAATTGGATTGGATTGGATAAAATTTAAATTAATTTTTAAATAGTTTGATGGTTTGAAATGATTTGCAAAGATTGAAATCTAAACCAAATCACTTTGAAACAATTTGGTTTAGTTCAAAATCAAAATGTTGACGGATCCACGTGGACTTAAACCAACTGTTTCGAAAAAGCAATTTTTGTTCGATTTTATGATTTTACGATTTTCTTGTTCAATCCTAATTTCACCTAAGCACTTGGGACTTCATGACCTCCTTTTACATTTTCTTCCTTGAAAAGCCTAAGCCCCCGTTTGGCCTCCATTATTTAATATTTTAATTGTTGGAATAGGGTTTTTTTTTTAAAAAAAAAAGTGACTAAAAAAGCAAAAAAAACTTTTGAATTTCGTGTAATATTATTTTATTGAAAAATGTGTAATCGATAAATTAAGAGAAAAATAAATTATAATTTTAATGGGGACCAAACAAAGGCTAAAGATGTTTGCCAGTTGCTCATGGTGTTTTTGATATGCAGATCTTGAAGGAATCACTCGAGTTTAGTTAAATAAATTAAGAATGATGTCATTTTTCACTAAAATGGTGTTTCTGATGTGCGGCTCTTGGAGGAATCACTCGAATTTAGTTAAATAAATAAAGAACGATGCCGATTTTCAAAATAAACCAGATTCCAGAAGTTCGAAATAGAAAGAAGATTTATGTAGATATTGGCGCAAACTCCTAGGATTGACAATGGATAGAGTAAGGCGGGCCATGGACCTTGCCCATATGAGCCGAGATAGTCACGTGCTTTTCGATTTTTATAAGGGATAATTCTAAACGAACGGGGCCACATGGCCAACTGGCCTCCTATAAGAGATGGGGGAGCCTGTTGAGGAAATTACACAAAACCAGATATTAAGTTTGGCCTTTTTAAAAATTAGATTTTCACCTTTTTTTTTTTTTTTTCATTTATCAAGTTTTTTTAATAATTTTAATTAAATAATTAATCTTTTAAAACTCTAATTTATTTATCAATTCCTCACCCCCACCCCACACATCGTCTCCCTCTCCCTCTCCCTCCCCCTCCATCCCTGCCACCTCTTCCTCCTCCTCCCCCTTCTCCATCCCTGCCACCTCCTCCCTGTTGGCAGCAGCGTCGAGGCACTGCTGTGAATCGCAACCCCTCGACTCGTAGCAGCCCCTCGATGCTGCTGCCGGCAGTGTCGCGACGCGGTGTGGCTGTGGGGAAGCAGCTGCAGAAGACACCAATGACTGGAATTGGATGAAGCTGAGCTAGATGTGTGTGGGTTTGTGGCGGGGCAGATCGCTGTGTCGTGGATGTGTGTGTGTGTGGCTGAGGGAATCCATGTGGTGAACCTGTGTGTGTGGGGCCCGTGTGAGATAATGGTGGCCCGTGGGGTAGTGGTCTTTTTTGTTATTGTTGTGGCGATGGTTGTGGTCGTGTTTTGGCGGGGTCGAAGGTGGCGGTGGTGGGTTTCTTGGTGTTGTGGTGCAGGCGTTGATGATGATTGATGTTTTTTTTTATTATTGTGGTTGTAGTGGTGTTGTGATGGGGGCGACGTTGTTGGTGATGCTGTGCAGACGACAACGACGGTGGTGGTTTGGGTGGTGGTGGTTGTTGGTGTTATTGTTGGTGGGATTGGGGGACGGGTGCGGCGGATGGGTCGAAGTGTCCGTGACCATCTATTTGGTCGATCTGTGACAAATAAATTTTTTTGGTCGATCTGTGACCTCAAAATAATCCGTAACCTACAAAATTTTTTATCTGTGACCAATAAAAAAATTGTGACCTAAAAATTTTAAATCTGTGTCTTCGAAATAATCTGTGACCTACCAAATTTTTGATCTTTGACTGGAGAACAGTCTTCGGAATGCTCGCCGTAACATGTGTAGTCGCCGGAAGGGGGGGTGGGTGGGGTAATTATATTATATTACAGTTAAATATTTAATTTAATATAATAATTGTGAAATATAATTAATTAATTCATGAAAAACCTGATTTTGCCAGTTTTAAACTTTGGGGCCTATTTTTTGATTTTGGGATAGATAAAGCTTGAGTTGTGAATTTTTCCCGAGCCTGTTCGTGTAGCATTTCTCTTTTATAAGACACAAAATATACAAAAGAAAAAAAGAAAAGAAATTATCTTAATTAAAATGAGAAAATATAACAGAACAGGACAAGCCAGAAAAACCCACTGAGCATTACTTGCCGAGTTCAGCTCGGCCAATCTAGCTGGAATCCTCGCTTGCCTCAATCTATGGATTCTTGGTGGCACGACTCCAGCCATGGCCAAGGTCTGGCCAGCAACTAGCTGAGCTGGCAGGCCTGGGCCCGTTTCCGGGCTGCAAACTCCACAGGAAAGTGTTGCAAGTCCAAAACAAAGTTGTATAGAGCATCAGATTGAGATCAATCAAGAATAAAATGATAATTCCACTGACAAAATTAGGGCAGTCCACGAGTTACCATAATTTTTTCTGTTTATGTACAAATGGAGGAGTCAGCGTAATCATCTTCAAACAAACAAAATCAACAGTCTTAATCTACAACAGTCGGATAGTAAATGGCTGTGAATAACCTCATCAAGCTATAAAGAATTATGCCAAGCAGGATTCCTATCACGTATAACAAACTCGCTACATGAAAAGATTCAGGGCGTGTTCGGTAGAGATTAAAATTGGATTAAAATTGAAAAACTAGCCATTATTGTTGACCTTTATTAGACGAGTGGGACCCAATAGCGGCCATATTTTCAATTTTAATTGGATTTTAAGCTGTACCGAACAGGCCCTCAGTGTATGCTTTTCATTTTTCCCCTTGCAACCAATTTAACTGAGTTGTCACAGAGATGAAGCTGCTAACATCCAGCTCGAAGCATCACATTGGGACCCTACCGTCCTCAAGAGAGTTGACTTAGCACGTCCTAATGATACTCGCCACATTTTTGCCTATCTCTTCTTTTGTTTGCTCAGACACAGGAACATCACCTATGTACATGTCAAAGAAAGCCCCTGGACATACATACGAAACTAAGTGGAAATACGATTCTTTTCATTGGCGATTTATCCTTTTTTTTCCTGCTTCTCTATTGAAGTTATGAGTCTAGAAAGGTGTCAAATGAAATGGTGTTCTGGAAAATAAATCTACTTACTGCATAAATCCTTGCTCTGGACGGCCCCAAGTAGATTTCCTCCAACTGCACAGATAAACGTTCTTCGTCAGGGGCATATATAAATTCCGATAAAATTTATGAGTTATTTTCTTTCTAAAAGTCAAAAGATATAGATAGCTCATTTCTATTTACCTTCGGTAATTAGTTTTCCATCAGCTGTACGATGGAAATTGATTGTCGTTCCCTGAAGAGTTTTTATGCTTGTCAGTAATGCAGTTTGCAATACCATTAAAAAAAAATAATAAATAAAAATAAATAAATAAATTAAAAAAAAAAAAATCTTATATATATATATATATGAAAAATGTGAGAATAATTGATTTATACCACGTGTAAGGGAATATCTTGTGAGAATATGGAACCGAATGTGTGCAAGCAGTGATGGTCAGCATCAGGATTTGTCTAAAGAGGAGAAAATTATCAGTATCAAGAATTTAGGAATACTTCAAGGATCAGGCAAAATTTGAAAGGACTCACTCTAATTAATCGGGCTCGAAGAGACTTCTCGAAAGCGCTGTACCAGAGAAGATTCCAAACATTGAACCATAAACATTAGCAACTCTGTAAAAATTCACTAGTGTTTTAAATAAATGTAGCATCTTGCTTGCTTCAATTGTTATAGAATTTGCACGGATTTTAACTGTATACTTAGCGACTTGAGACTTCAATAAAAGATTCATTTAGCAGCACTTAAGTGCACTAGCTCATTCCGTACATGGGGGGCAAGTGAGAACTGAAGTCGTAACAAATTTACTCCACGAAACTTTTTCAGATACATATTGAGATATAGCTAGCTAACTAGGCCATACCAATTCACGCTGATTACTTTTCAAATCAGCATTCTGCAAGAAGAAATTTAACTTACTCTCTCACAGTACTTATTTTGATTCCGTTGCAACTAACCACAAGCCTAACAGTCATGTTAATATCCTCCCTGAAGCATGAGCCAAAATTTAAACAAGGAAATATTAATAATCTTATATGAAATTCATTTCAATTCACAAAAAAATCATCATATGCCATGTATTTATACAAGTATAAAATTAATCAAATGTTAAGAGTCATCGTATGAAGTTTGATATGCTAATGATGAGGTGATAGTATACACATAGAAACTGGAGTTCATGTGACCACTGAACTCAAAGAGCAAATGAGAAAAGCTGGGATCTTCTTTTAAAACTACAAAGTTTAATTTCTTTAAATCACTGTAATACACTAGGAGCATATTTGGCTAAGCTTAAAATTCAATTAAAATTGAAAATATAGCCGTTATTGGGTCCCACTCGTTTAATAAAAGTAAAAAATAACGGCTAGTTTTTCAATTTTAATCCGATTTTAATTTCTACCGAACACGCCCTAGATAATGCAGAAGCTTCGAACAGTGGTTATCTAAACATTGATTTATGTTCGGTATGTAGGAGTGGTCAACATAATTTACAAATTTTGGCTTCTTTCTCTTCTTTAATACCATTCATATCTGTCAATATACCCTGAATAGACATATTATTTCACATGTATAGGTCAATCAACTTTATCAATCATAAGATTACTCAGAAATGTAGTACAAACCTGAGAAGATCCTGATAAAAATCTTGGCGTTTATTCAATTCATATTCCGGAATGCAGGCATACTTTGGGCACAATTTCTCACAGACATCAAAAGGATGAACATCTATAAACAATGCAAAATGAGTTTAAGCATCTGATGAACTTTCCTGGAGTAAATATGATATGTTCAAATGTATGAAGTGCAGCATAAAACTCACAAAAACCAAATGCATAGAGTTTCAGAGATTTGATTCTGATTACGGTCATAGTCCTAGATCCAGTTCCAACAAGGACCTGAAAGAAAGTCAGAAATTTTTATCAATCATTCATCAATAAAAGAAAAATCTGGCTAAATGCAGAGGAAGCATAATACTTAAGTGAAGATATACACAGAGTCACATAAGGATTTATTAAAATATACCTGATAAAAAAAAAAAAGTCTAAATCAGTTAGCAATAGAAGTTTCTTTTTCTTTATTTTTCGAAAACGGAAAGAAGTCCACTCATGAAGAAAGCATAATACAAGCATAGTAAATTGAATGTTACTTTAATGCTTGGCATATTTAACTTATATCAATATGTCATATCCCAAATACATAAAAACAATTCATCATAAGTAAAATTCGACTAGAAAAAATCAATAAAGTAAAAAAGCACCAAGATCATTATGAATAAAATGAAATGATAGAAATTATACTTATTCCGGAGGTTTATATCTATTTTTCTGTTCATGTGTACCTAAAATAAAGCAAATTCAGGTTATAAAATGAAAGATGGTATAAAGGTGGTGGTTCAAACAGTTGTGCATGACAGAAGAGATGAGGATAACTGGTAGCAAGAAAAAGAATTTAGAAATTTATGTAATTGAGAAATTACGGTGAGCAAGATTTTAATTTCCATGAAATATAGTAATCAGAAGTGTGTATGGCGTCACCTCAGCTATGGCAGATCACTGATGATAGATGCATATCACCTTAACATAAGAATGTTCTTTACCATATTACATCACCAAACACACGCCCAGTATTGGAATGTTATGGGATGGAGATCAATGGGATGAAGGGAAGTGTTGGATATTATGTCGATGAGAAAATCAAAATGTTCCATTACCTCTGGAGTAAAACTGGTATTTTTCCCAGTTATTATGTTGTCCAACACCGTAGGGAACTCAATGCCAGTTCTTGGCTCAACTGCATTACTAGACCAAGCTAAATTCTGAAGATAAATTTCACTGCATGGTCCACAGCCCTGAGTTTCAACCTCGCCGGGCCTTCCATCCATGCATCTCTGTGAAGAGCTACCGAACATTCAAAAAAGAAGAATCTTTCAGATAAAAACTCAATGTGAAAATTAAAAGAAAAAGGTGCAAGAACATCCATATATGCATGAAAATCAACCTATTTGGAGCAAGCATGATAAACGTATTAAGATTGCTGTATCTTTGTTAGAAGAATATGACTGAGCTTACACATTAGTAAATGGAGGTACCAGTGCGGCAGCTAATGAAAGCACTGGAAGTGACTGAAGCCATTCGGCTTCTTTAAATAGTTGCTTCAGAGTGAACCTTGATATCTTGCCAAGTACCACTGAGACAGCAGATTTACCTTTATATCTGGACTTCCAGAAAAATCCCGAGAAATCATACTTATTAGAATTAACGTGCTTTACTTGCACTGGAGCTTTACAGCTGGAACTAGAACCAATATGATCACCTGATATTTTGTTGTTTATATGGGAATTTGACCCACTAGCAAACCATAACAGTAGGGTACCTGTAAACTTTGATACGCAATTGAAAGCTTCTTGAAGCGCCAAACTACCAGGGACGTAGAAATACCTTGAATTGTCAACAAATGAAGAAACATGGAAGAGCCAATGCCCAGAAACATGTGGCACAATTGAATCCATCGAAAAACCGCCAGAAGCCCCATCTGGTTCAACGAAGAGCATCCAATTGTCCCCCATATTGAATTATTCTGATTATTTATCCCAAATAAAAAATCTTCTAACAAATACTACTCTTTAACGTTTAGGTTACTCAAGGACCTGTTTATCGTATAATAATGAATCAATATTCAGTAACTCTATACAAAAATCAAAGACAATTTGTAGTTTGGATGCACCAAACATGGCTCCAAAGACAAAAGAAAAAGTTGAAACACAACTCACGATGAGAAACTCAATAAAATATTTCAGTCAAATTGCAAGATCAAAAGTGCACAAGGCATTTCAAATTGCACAGAAAAAAGAACAGGGCGATCAACATCAGAAACTTCGAGTTAAATTTTCTGGAGTAAAGTGCTCCAGGAAGGAGATGAAAAAGGAAAGTTTCAAAGGACCTTGAGATAATAAAAATGACGAATTTGGGTGGACTAATTACATTTTCCATAACAAGAATTTTACTTCAAAACCTCGAAATAACAAAACAAATTGAAGATGGCAAAATACTATTGATATATAGATAAAAACAAGCGTAAATAAGAATGTAAGGCATTAATTCATACCAAAAGTAAATGAATTTGAGCTAAAATTCGATACTTGAAACAATAGGAGTAGAATGTAAACAATGTAATTATTATTCAGACCCAAATAACTAAAAAATAACCTGCAATATATATCAATTCACGTACAAAAATCAAAAGAAAAAAGCGAAAGAACCTGAAAAATAACGGAAGAAATGCTTAAAGGACAGATCAAAAGAGCTCTCATATGCCTTTGACGAAGACTAGAAAATGTATTCAAGAATTGATCAGGGTTTTTGGATTCTCAGTTGAAAAGGCCAAAAAAATAAAATAAAAAAATATTGGAAGAAAAGAATATGCTCTAATGGGTTCTTGCCAAGAAACGGGGAGAGGGAGTTGCCCAGAAACTTTTCCAACAAAGAAAATTTTCAGAAAAGTCACCAAGATTCCATCTTTTCTTATTAAAAATTTTTATTGAAAAAATCTTTTTCACACAAACACTCCTTTGGTAGTATATATACACTCCTTATATATATATATACTCCTTATATACACTCCTTTTATATATAT